TTTATATTTTAAAAAATAAATTAAAATTTTATATCTGCTATCTAAACCCTATTGATCTAAGTCTAATGCCTACTTAATTGAGTTAGTTAATACCAATCTAGTTGTAGTTGTTCTTTTGGCAAAATCACCTATATACAATTGGACTACAAAAGACAAGCCCTACAAAGAACTCATGAAGACAATTACAACTATCTACATGCCTAATTTGAAGTACCAATTGTATTCACTACCATCTAATTTAGATCCCAAATTACAACCTCAATAGCTATTTCAATATCTCTTTAGAATTGGACAAGACAATCTTATTATCCTTACTGAGTGCAAAGTTATCAACGTTGCCTTTGTAGGAGGTAAATTCCTACAAAATGATCTTCATTTCTAACTTATACTAGTAGATTATTTAATTTTTAATATTATTACTACTGCCATAGATTGTTGTTTTTCATTATTACCATCTATATTGACATTTCTAAAATCTTACTCAATAGTGACTTTAGTATTAATATCATTACACAAAAGAGGTACAAAAATAATTACAAAAAGAGGTATAAGACTCCTAACTCTTTCTTCTAGTATTTTCTTTGTTTAATAGCAAGTTTGCCAATAGCATTGATATTTTGCCATTAGTTTAAATTTGCAATCTTACTATCCATATTTATTTGATTTTATATAAGAACACCTTTGTAGTTGTTAAAAGCTATAATTCAATAATTGATTATTAAATCTTTTTTAGCAACCTTTGGCTTAAAGATATCCACAACTAAGATAATAATAAAGTTTATATTATAAAAAACTATATATATATATATATATATATATATATTACATAGTTGCTATCAATTGTCAACTTGGTTTTAATGCAACTAGTTTAAAAGATACTTATATGCTATAATATAGGTAAAAAACTTAGAAACAAAGAAGAAGCTATTTCATTAGCCATTAAAAATCTATAGATCTTACTAGTTTAAAGTATAATTATTCTAGTATATATATGAATAAACTAGTATATATATAAATATGTAAGATCTATAGATTTTTAATGGCTAATGAAATAATTAAAAATCTATATATATTAGAATTCTAATTATTTGGTTATATTTATTTATTTTATTCATATATATATATATATATATATATATATATATATTTCAAGCAATTATTTTAATTTTCTAACAATACCATGTTTTTATTTTAGTCCATCTCAATCAATTTTATAAGAGATGTTGGCTAATCACTATAATCTAGATACAATTCTACCTTCTTCTTTTATACTTTCATGAGTTTTTTAGTTAATATTGTCATGGTATATAAAAACTAACTTAAAAATGCTATCTGCATGTGATTGTGGAAGGATTTGATCTTATCTAGAAGTTTGATTTACAACCCAAAAAAATATATAATATATTTAGAAACATCCTTTAGCAATCTTGAACAATTTAAATAAGCTTCCAATTATCCTATGTACATCCTATTAATCTTTAAAAAATCACAATTATATCTTATTATGTGCTAATTATTCCACATAAATATTAAATAATCTTTAATATATTTTAATTAAATTTTAATTAAATTTTAATTAAATCTTAACAAAATCTTAATTATTCTTTAATAAATCTTTAAAAAATCATAATCCAATCTTTATTAAATTCTAAATCCTAAATTCTAATAAAATCCTAATAAAATCCTAATAAAATCCTCATCAAATCCTAAGTAAGTATAACCAAACCTTAAGCAAATCGTAAAGAAAATTAAAAACTTGATACCTTATAAATTGATTGTTGTTCTTGACTCAACATTTATACATATTAGTTTCTTAATTAAAAATAAAAATAAAAAATAAAAACATAGCAAAAGTAAAGAAGAAAAACTTACCAAATAGGAGATAAACCTCACAATATATTTGGATGTTGGTTGGTCTCCTTCTTCAACCTTAATGTCAATTTTTCAATGTCAATAACTCTTGTTTTTACCATCTAATTTGTATCAAATTTTGCTTAATTGTTATAAATCAAACTTTCTATTAGTGTACTAAATTTAATCCCAATCAAACTTATAAATTATTAAAAGTCTTAGAAATCTTTATTGGCCCTCCAAACTCCAATTTTTAAAACCATATTCCAATTTTTAAAACCATACTCTACTTGGGTTTCATTAATCTTAAATTTTAACTATTTAATCAAGCTCAAACCTATAACACATATTTAACACATCTATCTATGATTAGAAGTGTTTAATTGCTAATCCACTGTAAATCTTACAAAATGCTCTAAAGTAGTACTTAAAAGGTTGTACTCCAAATAGCAAATAAACATTTGTACACATATAAAGCTCAAATGTGAAATCAACATGTCCAACTGGAGTCACTACGCTTCAAATCTATTCAAGAAATGAAGCACGAATAAGAAGCTTAACAGGCTCTTCAACCACTGGTTCGGAAGAATGTGGAAACTATTCAATCCTGAGAGAAAGTGATGACAATGCTGTATACACAGCTCGAAGGGTTGCATAGTAACCTGGTCTATGTAAACAAACAAGTGAATTGCTTGCGAGACATCTATCAGCGACTACAGGAGTACAATATTACCTTGCACCCATAGAACAGCAAGTTACAAGTGGAGAGCCTAGAGGCAAATTTCTCTGGTAAAAACGATTACTATAGTGATGTGGAATTCAGTAAACCAAGAGGAAGAACGCGGAACTAGGGCAAAGTGGGCACGTCTCCATCATTCTACTGCAGTGATGTCGGTAGAGCGTCGCCGAGCGGATGTCCAGGATACCAATGAAAACACCACACATTGTCAGAAACCACATTGTCAGAATCTACACATTGCTAGAAACCTCAAAGCGCAATCTGCTATGTCTAACATAACGGAGCAAGATGGAAGACACCTCATTAACTTCAACATAGATCCGCCACAAAGCCGCAGGTGATCCACATCCAGAGGCTGTGACGAAGGTGCCATTGACCGGCTTGATGTACGTGCCATTGTTGAGCTTGTAACCTTTCGAATACTTTCTATCTGCGCCACAGTTCTCAGGCCATTCTATAGCGGACGTTGGATATTCTGGCCCTAAGCGACGAGACTGTTTGGCTAAGAGAGACGTCGATACAGGGGCGATCTGTCCAAATAGAGGCGACTCTCTTTCGCCAACAGGTCTGATCGCGAAGTCACCATTCTGTCACCCAGCTGCAGGTGATAACCATCGTCACTACATGTCTCTACAGCCAATCAAGACATCACAGCCGAGGGGGAACATTGGCTGAGATAGAAAACGGTAGGACGTTTCTGTAAGCTAAGCAACCCGATCAAAAAGTCACCGTTCCGTCATCGAGCGGCAGCTGATCCACGTCCAGAGAATGTGAGTGTGGAACTACAGGTCGTCAACCTCTTTATGCACCCTCGTTACGCATGATCGCTGCTCTGCCCAGCCAAGTTCAAATTAAAGCGACTTTAACGAATAAGCAGCAAGAAATCGACGAGATGTCCATATTAAGAATCTTTCTTTGATTTCTTCATTCAGAGTTCGTTCGTTTCGATAATGATCTTTGTGTTGACTATACTTTAGTGGGAAATGTGTTTGCTATGACTATGGTTAATTGTGTTGGCGATTCATTGAATTGTCTCGAACATCTCTGTGATTGTGGGATTAACAGAATACTTACTCCAGCTTCCATTGAGAAGTAAAATTGTGAGGTATGCTCCCTTTGAATCTATGCTTCGTTGAGCTTGTGGCCTTTTCTCTAATGTGGTAGGGTTAGATAGGTTCTACGCGGTTTGAATTGGTATTTGTCGTAGAATCTGTCAATCATGGGATGAGTGCAGATTGCAGGTGGAGGGTTTCAAAGGTGCGAAGTTCAAGCGCTTTAGAAATTGGGCGCTGGCTAAGAAATATCTAAAAGAAGGACTAATTAGTGAACTACTCGGTTTTTGATTTTGCTAGAAGTCCTATTGCTTCTCACAGACAGCAGTTTACAGTGGTTTATTTAAATAGAAAGTATTGATGATAATAATGAAAAGTAAAATAAATTACATTATGTAATTTAATGATGATTACATATAAATACATGAATTTTCACATGTCGTACTTATATGTCTCTTTACATTATTAAACACATTTATACTATTGAATATTCAAGTTTATGGTACATTGATTTTAAAAGTTACTTTTAAATTGTTTATTCACAAAAGTTTAACAACTTTATAATATCATCTGACATTTTAATATTCTAAATATAAAACTCAATCACAAAATATGAATTGACTAGTATATGTAGACAGATGTAGTGAAAGCTGAAATATGCTGATACTTGAAAAATTAACCATATGAACAACTTTGCTTGGAAAGCTACAAACACTAATGACTTACCTTAGAAAATCTCACACAAAGAAACTTCTAGTAACAAATACAAATAAGATTGTTCAGAAAATAATAAGCCATTTCAAATATGCACAAAAATTTACAAAACATACGGTATAATCAATAAAAAGAGATAAATATTCACATTTAAAAAATACTCCACTTGTGTATCATATTAAACATTCATAGTCATTCAATTAATTTGATCAACACTCTTTCGTTCTTAACATACATAAACAAAAAGAAAAAAGAAAAAAAAGAAAAAAAAAGTCAATTTCGTTTTTTTAATACCAAAATCTTAATTGTAAAAACCACTAAGCATACAAAATAAAAATGTCATGCACATGAAGCATACGAAATACAAGTTTAGCCTTACAAGACGAGAACACAACCTCAAAAGTAAGAAAACCACCCAAATTCCCAATGAAAACGACATCAAAACAGTCCAGTTGGGTTGAGAAGGTAGAGTTTCTAACCATTTTCTAAGTCACGTAAGAAGGCAACTCAGCCCACTGACACACACCTACTGACAAATAAACATAAAATGAGCATAAAAAAAGAAGTTTGGATCAGTACCACCAGCTTCCTCAGATTGCAATCATGCAAGAACAAGCAACAACAACAAACACTGTTACAGATGCTTTAGAATGAGGACACAGGAAGTGCAAATTTTCTTCAGTAATTGTGTTTGCTAAGTAAGCAAGTGAGTAAGTAAGTAAGTAAGTAAGTAAGTAAGTCACCTTTGGGATCAATACCATCAGACTTGTACCAGAATGAGCAAGAATGAGGACAATCTGCCCTTAAAATTATGCACCCACAGGAACGGAGAAGAAGGGGTTTTGGAACCGAATTCAGGCTCATAAGTAGTAGACAGACGGAGTAAACCCCCCCCCCCCCCCCCCCCCCCCAACAAATGCTCTACTTTTGTGTCTACTTTGTTAGAGGATTTTGAATGGTGGTTCTATACCTATTTTGCAATATGGGTTCCTATGTGGCAGATTGTTACAATCCACCGTTGGCAGTGGCATCCTCTTCCTCCTTCTGAAGTGGCAGAGCAGCGCTAGTTATGAGGTCCTGGGACCGATCAGTTGGCACACAATTGTCTTCGAGGATTTTGGGCGTGACACTACGAGCTACTTTGGTTTCCAGCACCACCAAGGAGCAGTAATCCAGCTCGAATCTCATGAAATCATCTGTACAGGCTGTGAATGACCCACCAACCATCCCAGTTCATATCGATCAGTTTATCTGTGTGTGTGTAAGTATGTGTGTATGTGTGTATGGTTACTCGCAAGTGCTACAATCACAGCTTCATTTGAAGAAAAGGGAGTAGAATCAAAGAAGCAAACTACTTACTGTCAATGAGATCTGCAAGGTGTCTCAGATTGCGTATCTTGACTCCATTGAATGTCTTCACCTGGAACAAGTTAAGAATCCGAAACACTCGTGAACATCCAGTAAGTGAGAAAAAAAAGCCAGTCAAGATTTGTGCTCAATACATTGATAGAATCCATCCCATTGGTGAAGAGTAAGGGAGATGTACCAAAGTATTAGCAATCTCTTCATAACCAATGTTGACGTCGTTGGCTAGAACCTGTGCATTCACAACCCACAGAGTTGGTGGACAGTCACTCCATTGTACGAGGTGATGGAAGTACCGCATAACAAAGGGGTAATTCGTTGATCGAGGTGGAGACAAAGCGAGCATCGTTTTTCTGTACCTGGGAAACTACAACGAGCTGTTCGTCATCGAACTCTGCCATTCCATGCCGTGACTTTTCCAATATCTTGACCGGGGCATCATACTCAAAGTCTTGTCCATATTCAGATCTGTCACATATCCGCACGATTCATTCACGACTTAGAATCACTCAAACTGGAATCCGCAAATTAGAACTCAACTTTTTCGCACTAAAGCGTGGGAAGAAATACATAGTCTGCGATAACAGAGCTGGTAGGAAGTTAACTGATTGCGAAGATTAGGGTTTAGAGAGCTTCGTACTCCAAGTAGGGGTTGCACACAGGAGTAAACACAAGCCCTGCTACAATCAAGTATGATGGTAGCTTCCCCTCGATGTGCACCGGAACCAAATGAACTGGGGCCTTGAGAGTCGTTTCGATCTCGATGACTTCTCCATCACGTAGCATTTTGCACTTAGCAGTGTCACCAGAAAATCTGTTTCATGTAGCGTACATTCGTTAGTCTCAGTAATTCTGGAGAGGGGAGAATCAAACCATTCATATGTAGAGAAAACAGGGTGATAGGTGTTTTGAATACACTTGCAGGGAGCTTGAGATGGTTGCTTACTTTTGGCTGATCAAGAAGCCGAAGGAAATTCTTTCGCCTGCCCGGAATGGAACAGTGCCTTCATTAGCCACTGGGATGTTGTCGAAACTCAAGAGTACGTCGCCCTACGTTTGAGTAAAATGGAAAAAAACTGTTATTGTACACCTTCAGATTCACAACGCTTAGCTTAAGAAAATTGAACGTACCACTTACGAAAAAACGGACATGCCAACAAGATAAAATTTACTCCAAGCAGCACACCTCTTTGATGGCTTGAAAGGCTGGAGACGTTGGCTCAACTCTTCTTACCAACACACCCTGCTCACAATTCCAGTGTTGTGGGTTTTTCAATTCTAAACGAGACTAACAGAACAAACTAGAGCAAGACAGACCGAGATAATTAACATGGCTCTTATTCGCATGGCCAAAGAAGGTCAAAAGTTACAACGACCGATGAAAAGCACGCACTGAAAGTATAGAAAAAAACAAGATGAAAAAAATGATTTAACAAAACTGACCTTCTGGTCTGGTTTCATTTTGAGGAAAGCTCTCAATGCCGGATTCTCAAGTTTTTGCCACAAAACTCCCATGGAAGGGAAACCTGGGATAATAGTAAACGAAACAGAAAGGTCAAGAGACTAATTAAAATCACAAGAGGGCATCGTAGTTGCATCGATCCAAGGGAAACTACTTCATTCTTCAACTCATTCCAGTGCTAAAAATCAGTGTAGCAAATCGTTTTGAGTATAAAGTGAACCTGTGTATTTCCCGTTGGTGTCATAGTCACTCAAGAAGTGGTGGATGACAGTAGTCGGTATGACGTAACCAATATTCTCGGCATCGGCTCCTTTCAAAGACTGCACCAACCAGCTTCAAAAAGTTAGCTTCATAACGAGCTTGCAAAAAGTACTCGTACTGAAGGTTCAATTCGCTTAAGTACAACCAGCTGGGGACGACTGCAACAGATTAATTCAAACCTATTTAGATCACAATAGCGTTGTGGACATTTGGGACAGACCTGAAATGCAATACCAACACACTCGCCATTCTCGTGGAAAACAGGGCCACCACTGTTACCTGCACTTGGAAGGAAACGAAAATCATCTCAGGAAAACAAAGATACCACACTGAACTGTAGACTGAGAGATTTATCAACATTTTAGAGGATCTCCGATTACTTGACAGTGTATAGTACCTGCATTGATAGCTGCGTCTATCTGAACTCCGAGAAGCTCTGATGCTCCATGTACATATGAAGTTACCTATTTCCGTTGAACCATTATCAGAATAAGGCTCACACAATAACAACAATAATAATAATGACAACTGCAAAAGAGGCACTGTAAGCGCTACAAACGAGGTACAGACACCAAGAACTCAGTAGAAGATTCTACTATTAGCGATTCATACCTCGATACGTGAGACAACACCGCTTGTAACAGATATAGATTCTCCACCAATTGGGTACCCAACAACAGTGACAGCATCCTGCATAGACGTCAGCATTAGTCAATACGCTGCAACGAATAGCAGCAACTAAACTCTTCTCAATTGTGACCTTTACGCTTCAAAAAACGTTGAAGAAAGGATGTGCATTAGATTGAGCATATAAACAGGCACTGCAACAACCTGTAGACGAGGGAGACTTCCAAACTTCAGTGGTTCGACCCCTTTCCAAAACTCTTCGTCGTCAACTGCAAGCAATGCTATGTCACATTCTGGTCCTATTGCTAAGACCTGAAATTCACAGACTCAAAAATTAGCGGCTAACAAAAATGGAGAGAAAACGAGCCAAAATAATTCAATTATGTAAACTTCCAAGTGAAATCGCTTGTACAGCACAGAAAAAAAATATATATATATATATATATATATCGATGAGCGAATGGTTTATAGAAAAATTGTTACCGTTGCCACGAATTTTGTGTCGTCACCTCGTCTTTTCACCTTCACCTGTTGTAGAAAGAAAGGTCAGAACAGTGACAGCAATCAGACTTCGACAATATTAACCTATACCTTTGATACACTGTTTATATGAAAGGTCCGAGGAGGCGATAGATAGTTGTCCAAAATACGAGTAATACTGCTAATTCAGTTCAGATTCAAGCTGGCAATAGAGCTCACTAAATCTCCACAGCTATTCTACACTAGCAAAGGTTACTTGAAGCTCACAAAATTACATCCTTAACTGCCAGACTACATCATAAGGAAGCCACCACTCACCTGCGTGTGATGTTCAACACAGTGGGCGTTTGTCAATAATCTTCGGCCCTGTATCATAAACCCGCTGCACAATGTGGAACATCAACAATGAACAGGTGTGATAAACAGAGCAATTCAAGTTATTGCAGGGTTTCGGACTAAGTAATGATCAATTGCCTACCTGATCAAATCCAAAATTTCAGAATTGCTCTCTCTTACACGAAGGCAAAAATCTACTCCAAAGTAACAGAATGATGAGCTAAGCTTGCCTGCCTGTAGAAGAGTATTGTCGTCGCTTTTGCCATGGTAGAGAGAAGTTAGGATCCGTATGTGTGCAATAAACCTGAAACGGAGACACAGCTCAGCCCCCACTAAATGGACAAACAAATAAAAACTATGACATGAAACCGTGGAGTTCAAGAGGAGCAGAAACAGCAACCACTTAATTTCAATCACATAAAAACTGAGGAAATTCGGAACTTTCACACAGAAGAAGAAGAAGAAGAAGAAGAGAGAATGAGCAAGTAGATTGGCTAATTAAAGCAGATGGAAGCACGCACCTTTACAACGGCATCTAGAAATGGGGCATCAGGGCCCTCGTCAACGTCATCAAGCTGCAACCAAAAAACGACTCAAAAATCGATAACCCTCAGTTTTTTTAGCAGCTCAGGCCGCTTGAAGTTCACGGGCAAAGAGCAGGCGGATCAGAGTGCTGTATACATGAACTGATAATGGGTAGCAGCAATTGGATTGGCATAAAACTGACCTTGTAAAGCCAATCAGCATCCGGCATTTGGAAACCAGAATCCTCCATGCTGCCGTTGAAGCCTCCGCTGAGAGGGGCCTCGAATCCATTACGGTCATGCTTTTTCTCTCGTTCCTTGCGCTTGCTATTTTGCTGTTCTTCGTGTTTCAGGCAGCTTATCTTTGAACATCTTTTAAACTTTTGCAAGTTTATGTGCTTCGGTTTCCATGGTTTCTCCTGTTGTATATGCAAAAACAAAAGATAAGGTTAACCTACTGTGTCCATCAATCCAAAGAATTTTAGCAACTCTCAATAAAACCACCGTTCTGCAGTTTCAAACTCACACGATTAAGATTGAACTTGTCATGAGGAAAGTTCCTAAGCTCCAGTGGTAACTGAATTTGATTCCATCCTTTAGCATACTCTTTAAAACACACTAACAACCCTACAGTGATAACATAAATAAATAAATAAATAAAATAAAAATGACCAATGAAAAAAAATAAAAATAACCACACTCCTCCAGTCCAGAACTCAACTCGCTTTCGAAAACCAGGTTAAAAACCAGCACACGGACGTAGAAATTAGACATTTTCAGCAACCTAGCAATTCCAATCATTCTATCCACATGAATGGATAAGCACTGAACCCAATTCTGCAATTAGATTTTGGAATTGTCGTGACTTAGTCAGGACCATTACCCTTCCCAATAAAAACTCAAAATGGTTCGAGAAATTCCTTTGCCATAAGAGAAGCCAGAGAAATAGCCAAGTAAATCCTAGAGGAAACTTAGCCGTGCCATGAATTGAACAGAAATCGCAGTCCTCTCATGAATTAATACAGGTAAAAGCCATGTCAGGATTAAGGTCCTCCTCCACAGTCCAGGTAACTCTGGACTTGTGCCGCTGTCCCATCACTGTCTACAGAAGAGAGCTTCTCCTTCTTCTGCAATACTTATCATCGAGACTCTCACAACCATTTTCAGAGCGAGTCATCTATGCAGAAACCTAAATAGAATTCAGAACCAAGCGTCGGCAGGGGATGGCGAAAGTGCAACTGGCGGAACACACACTTTGAATGCAGGGACCCCGAGAGAGTGAGAGCAATGTGCAATGGTTTTCTGACCAAATGCAGCAACAATGAAGTCAGAAAAATTGGACAGCAACTCCCTTCTTTTTCCCAAGGAATCGTTGGCCAACATTCGCAAGGAGAGCTGAACTAGAGCTACTACAACAACAATAACAAAGAGATCAGTGGGAGAGCACACTCACAGAGCTGGAATTGAGCGTCAAGTCCCGCAATGAGCGAGCCTCGAGGGAAACGGCGCAGGGAGAGGAGCTGATCCTGTGAGGGTGGTGGTCTGCGAGGGTGAGTCTTGTTGCTGCTCCTGCTGCAGTGGCGGCGCTCCCCACCAACAACTCCATTCTCCTCGCCCTTCACTCCTTTGTTTTTTTCCAGCTGCTGCTGCTTGTTTGCACCAGCGATGGCGTTTCCCCTATTCCCTGCTCGTTCAATACTCCCCCGCACCCACCCACATTTCCGACCCACTTGGCGAAACCTCACCCCAAGCACAGCCTGCGATTCAAGACGGCACCTAGCGGGGAGGATAGCAGCCAAAAGTGACGCCTTTCGGGGGTGGGTACCCAAAGCCCCTTCAGAGGAGGGAGACAACAACAATGAAGAGGGTCCGTGTGGATAAGGTTCCAAACCCAAAACGCATTCTCACTCCAGCCGAGGGGGAGGTTGGATTTGTGTCTTCCAACAAGGTCAACAGCAACTGAATGAATGAATGAATAAATAAAGCAATCAATACAGAAAAAAAAATACCTCAAAGAAAGGTTGGCGTGAGAAATTGCATGTTTGTACATGTTGCACCCATTTGAGGTCCTTTTTAGTATACCCTGGAGACCGAGTTGAGGAAAGGATAACAACAATGTAAAGTGTTGAATTCTCTTGCATCTGTATTGTGATGCAAGTGGTTGAGAAATATTTGTTTTAAACATTGTTTGTGTAATTTTCTTAGATTTTTAGAATGAATCTTTAGATGTGTATATATATATATATATATATATATATCCAATTTTGTTAAAGTCCCACCTCCAAACCATGTGATGATTAATTTAGTCCAATGTTATTCTACCTCTTTGTGGTGTACTCATAAATATGGCTCAATATGGATGAGATAGACCATCATTATCCATGAGTGTAAAGGGCAACTAGTCCTTTGGGCCCAAATATCTCTTTTGCTCAAGCTTCTATTTACAAGTGCAAAGGGCAACCTTGTTTTCTTCATTTGCACCTCACTTCAGGCTTTATGTATATGAATAATGTATTATAGATCCTAAAACAATACTAAACAAAATTAAGATATCTTGTTAAATTTAGAAGGTAAATTTGGCAAAGAAATATTTCTTCTTAAGTTGTTTCTTTTAAACTATAAATATTCTTTTATATTCTTATATAAAGATCAAGACATTAGTTTATTATTCAAAAAGACTAGATAATCACCCAAAGATGATATAATATTAAACTAAAATGGCTATTGCCAAAAACAAGAAGACTAAAAAGTCTTGAAACAAGACTAAGAACTAGAAAGGTATTGACAAGAATAAAAAAAGCTTCACTCTTGTCTCCATATATATAATCTAACTAAGAGCTATGTGGTAATGTTTTATAGAACCTCCAACATGTATTGACTTTGTTAAATACATGTTTTAACTTGCAAGGTAAGTTTTTTTTATTTGAATGCGATATAATTAGCTTATTCCATAAGCTACTAATACATGTGATATATAGCTAATTTATTGACTAAGTTTCTAATTTGTTAATCAATTATAGATATGTATAAAGTCAAAACTGTATCTATGAAGCTTCTAAGAAGTTTTTCTAAAAAATATTATAGAATTAATCTTGAAGATCTTTATCTTGATTATGTCATCTTGAAGGTTGTGATAATTGCAATATCTCATCCGCTAAGACAATAAAAAAATAGTTCTTAAATAGAATCTACTAGTTATTGGTTCTCCACCTCTTTAGTACTACAACTATATAGAAGCTACAAATAAAGATAAAAGGTAGAATATTATCTTTCCTAGATCTTATTTCTTTTATAACAAAGTTTTGTTATTCTTCATCTTAATTTTGATGGATGTTGTTAATGAAAAGCCTCAATCCTCTTTACTAGATTTGTAAGATTTTTTTTGATTTTCATGTGCATTTAATAATATCACATTTATACCAATGAACAAGATATTTCAATTTATTTTGGTGCTACCTTAAGTCTAAGGCTTCTTCCACCTTAAATTCTTTATTATTATCTATTTCTATAAGAAGAGGTAGTACTTACCTTCTTTTCAATATGTTCATTGTCTTATATGGTTCAAAAAGAGATATTTGGAATACAAAATAGATATTCATTGATTCCAATAGGTATAATTGATAAGCAACTAGATTAATTTGTTTGCAAATAGAAAAAGGTCTAAATCTATAATTTTTTTAATTTATCATAAACTCAAATAGTCTTGATATTGCAACAAAATAACCGTACCTCATCATCCATAATGAATTATAGTTCTTTCTTGCAATAAACAAATATATTTATTTTTTTGGCAGTGATTCAAAATACATATCAATATGATATATTTAAGGTTTTTTTTATTTGTATATATGATGACTAGCCTAGAAGCACCTTCTAGATAATGATGCTATTCTTAAAATGAATCTATGATTTAAAAAAGTTCTTTATTATAGATCTTGTAGTTAATTTTGACTATTGAAAATTTTTTAGAGTAAAAAGCTACTAGATGGAGCTTGTCATTTACTCTCATTTGTAACAAAAAAACATCCATGACAAAGTTTGATGCATCTATTTTTACAAAAAATCTTTTTTTAAGAATTTGATACAATATAAGATTGGTACAAAAATAAATTTTATTTTTAAAGCTTTAAAAGATGCTTCAACTTCTTTATTCTACTCAAGTTTGTCTTTACATGTCAAACATGTAAGAAGAGTTTCAACTTAAGAATTTTTTTTGATGAAGATATAATATTAATTTGTAAATCTCATAAAATATTGTATATCTTTGATTGTTTTTGGAATTTTTCAATCTATAATAGTCAATATTTTTTTATGATCCATCATAAGGCCATCATTTAAAATGATATATCTTAAGAAATCAACTTAAGTAAAGTGAAATATACACTTTTTTATCCTGGCATATAATTTTATATCTCTTAATTTCTATAAAATATAATAAATATAAAATTCATGTTCTTTTTATCTTTTTAGAATATATTAAGATGTCATTTAGATAATAGACAATAAAATCATCAAGAAACTTATAAAAGACATCATTCATTAGATATTAAAAAATATTGATATATTCACGAGTCTAAAAAATATTGATATATTCACGAGTCTAAAAAATATGAAATTATATTCAAAATTTCCATACCTGATTTAAAATATATTTTTTTATTCAATAGAAGGAGTTAAAAGTTGATTTTAGCAAAAATTACCTCAAGAAAATAAGAATTGATTGCCAATTAGATTCAAAATCAAATTCCAAAATATAAAATCTAATATTCATACCATTTTTAGAAGCTTTTTAGCAAATAAAAGAATAGGATTTGAAAATAGATTAAATTTGGCTTCTTTAAGCATTAATTTTGAAGGATTTGAGTTTATAATGACTTTATAAGAGCTTTGTAAAGTTAGGGTTGTTTTGTATAACTCTAATTTTTGTAAAATAAAATACGGTTGATATTTTGAGCAATGTCTTGAGTTTTGTAATAGATCTATAAATAAAAATTTATAGATTTAAGAGTATAATTGTACTAAATATTGACTACAAATTTGAATTGAATTAAATAGTTATATTAAAGATTATTGAAGTTCAAATAGATTAAGATCTTAAAAATTTGAATTTGAGGATCAATAAGATTTTTTAAGATCTTTAGCAATTTACTAATTAAATTGAAGTAAAAATTGTTTTTATAGATAGCACACTTGATTGCAATATGTATGTGAATTTTAGAATAATCAATGGTTTGAAAAGGAGATATTTGTACTAGTAACTCAGCATCAAGGTTAAAGAAGAAGGCTGCCCAATACCTAAATGGATTATCTTACATTTCTTTTTGTACTTTTTTTCAACTAAGCTATTGAAAAGTATGCAAATTTTGAGGCAATATCAACTGTTCAATCATTAATTGTTGATGTTTCAATCTACTATGGAATTTGCTAAGACTTTATTTAAGATTTAAGATTTGATTCGGATTTAGTTAGGATTTCATTAGAATTTGGTTTAGGATTAGGATTTAGAATTTAATTAGGATATGATCTAAATTTTATTGAAGATTATATTAAGATTTGATTAAATTTTAATTAAAATTTTAATTTTTAATTTTTCTTTAAGATTTCTTTGATATTTTTAAAGATTTTTTTATTATATATATATATATATATATTTTAGATTAATTTATTATTTCTTTATATTTTTTTGATAAATTTTAAAAAATATTTTGGAATTTAATTAAAAATTGAATAATATTGTTATGATTTAATTAAAATTTATTTATAAATTTATTAGAATTGATAGGATCTTTTTATTATAAGTTCCAATTTATCTTCTATAATTAGATATTTGGTGTATTTTCAAGCAAACTTCACAAAATACAACAATAATTCCTATTATAGCTAGAAAAATTGAATTTTCAACACATTATCCTTTTTAACAACTATGTTCCTTATTTTGTAGTTGTGTTGCTTTTTTAGACATTATTGAACAATGTGCTTTGGTTTCCTATAATATAAATATTATTCTTCTTAATAGAGTTGAATCATTTTTTTCTTAGTAAGAAATTTGAAACATATTGTATCAAATTGCAAAGGTTTTGGTCTTGATGAATAAGCTTTCGTAGATTTAGAAGCTATCACCATGACTTAACTTATATCTCTCTAACCAAATCTTTATTCTTTTTATTTTTCAAAGAGTCAATTATCACATGTAATGACTTGAGCAATAAATTTTTCTAATGAGTTTGCTCTTGGCATTGTCAACAATAAATCTTTGACGTTATCTTTTAATCTATATCAAAATTGATTAATGAGGGCCTTGTCATTTTAATCCACATTGCAAGCAAGATTTTAGAATTTAGTAACATTTATGATTGCTTAATATGATCTTTGTTATAAAGATATAATTTTAATCTCTGCTACCTTTTTTTGATTATTTTTTTTCAAATGTGGCCGTAAAGACTTTCAAAAATAAATTTAAATTATAGAATAGTTGTAAATTATTTTTCATCAAAGGTCCAAACTAAGAGAGAGAAATCTTCAAAAAAAAATATAGCTATTAATTCAACTTGAGTAAATCTATTAGGATATTAAGAAAGATGCAACCTTAGATAAATCTTTATTTGTTGTAGAAATCCTCAAAACTTTGATCTTGTTCTATCAAAATTCTTAAGCATATTTATTTCTACTTTCTTCATACTTATAATAGTAAGACTTTTTAGATTTAGTTTTGAACTTAATCTACTTGCTTCTCTAAATTTCACAATTTCTTAGTATAGATTTTGAATTTCATTTTTGACATCCTTTAATAGCCATTGAGATACTACTTCTATGGTTGATATTAGAGATATGTGAATTTTCTATCCTAAAAGTA